TCCTCCAACTTGCCCGACACACATGCCGGGAAAACAAATAAATATTTGCTCAATGGCGCTATAGTTAGTGGCACATTGGTATACTCCGATGCGTGCTGGTGCTGTCTGTTGACCCACAATAAATGAGGGATCGAGGCACTCATATGCCGGCACAAGCCAAACGGGCTTCCAATAATAAACAAACCGCGAGAAGTTGAGGGCAGACTAGTTCCCAATCCCCCAATCCCCCAATCTCCATCGTTTTCGGTTTGCTTTGTTTATACATATAATTTTTGTTTTCATTTCATACGATGCGGGTCACGCTTTGCCAGAATAACCAATATGCCATGAAAAATGATTCGGAAAAGATTACAATGAGATAGCTCGAAACGGGGAAGAACTTTCCTTAAACCAAAAGGGGTTCAATTACTAATAAATTCTAATTGTGTAATTAAAAATAAAGTAAAGAGAAGTCTATATTGCTTGCTTACATATTTTATTTCACTGTATTTCCCACAAAAACTTTAATTATAGGCTGTCATTAATTTAATTAAACAGGCAGACTTGAAAAAGTAATAAAAAGTAAAATATGCCGAACAAACGTCCTTGAAAGGCACCTCAAATTTTAAAAGTGAGCTCCCAAATAGCCATTTGAATTCAATCAAGTTTTTCCCACTTCTGCCCAATCACTTTATTGCCCATAAATTTGTCTACCGTAGGCAGCGCTCCCCAAATTGCGAACTTCACTTGATATTTCAGCGGACTGTCAATAAATCAACGAAATTGTTCCACAAACTTTTCACACTCCATGTAGCAACTTTCGCACAGCATTTAAAAACATTTCGGCTTACAATGGAGCTGCCGAAGGAATAATGCCATAATCTAACTTTATATCCGACTTTATATCATGACAGGAAAATCGCGTAAGAGACAAAACGACTGGCAATCGATATTTGTCGCTTAACGGCTTGCACATCAAACAATTTGGCTCGGCTCCTCGCGATTTACATATTGGACCAGGCTCACAAACAAAAGCTATAAAATTTCAATTTATTGCTTTATAATTGAAGGCAATAAATGTTTGTAAGAGCAGCAGGCTTGTGGGCGTTTGCGGGTGTGAATTAAACGGTGGGGGCTGTGGTGTGCCAGACGAACAGAGAAAGACAAACTGTAATGACATCAGTATGTCATTCAGACAGTTGATCCATTGAACGCAATTCCATTGAATTGAATTCGAGTCAGCACACAATATTTCTGTTTTGCTTGGTTTTTCAATTTGCAATAAATTTGCTACAATAACTTACTACATTGAAAATCATCGGCGGGGGGCAGGGATGGAAAACAATGGGGGAAAACCTAAAACAGAAATCGACAAAAATGTGAATTGCTAATTTTGTTGATTGTTTTGCATTCCAAGGTTATCATTGGCTGCCTTGTGTCATAAATATTAGAAATAAATTTGTTTTGCATGCTTCTACTCATTTAGCTTGGCAGAGTTGTATTAATATTAATATAAACTCTATCTCGAAACATTCGTCAGCCATCTACATTCGAAATTTCATTAAACTCTTCACAACTTAAACCAAATCATTTCCCCTTCATAAAGTCGTAACAAAAGTTTTAAAAACTTTCCAGCAAGAAAAAGTAATAAATATCATTTGACTTTTAGTTGCCTTAAGTTTCATCAATGAATTCAGTTGAATTGTTTTGCTTCCCATTGAAAAGGAGCAAACAGTCAATAAAAGAACAACAAATTAACTAAGGTTTGGCAAGCCGATACTTCAAAATACTCTTAGTATTTATATATTTGAAAAGAAAAAACACTTTCTGATCAAAAGTAAATGCAAAATTGTAAATTGCAAAAAATCTGGTGTATACCAAATTAAAATACTTTATAAACAAAATCAACGAAGTTACTTTGTTTGCTTTTTTTTCGTTAATCACAATGACAGCTGTGTGATATATGTATTATATATTATATATTATATGATATATTATATATAGATATTACTGACCTGCAATTAAAAGAAGACTTTTGAGAGTGTTTTGTGCAGATCGCTTTAAAACTGAGAGACCAACCAAGTTGCCTGGAAAGTACATGGCTATATCGAATCACCTGTTGATCAGGAAAATATATCTACTCTATGGTCATGAGAATACTGCAAGCTTCTGACTGAAATCAGTATGCCGTCTGCAAGGGTATAACAGGTCTGAAAAACAACAGTAGCGGTAGGCAAGACTTTGGATTACCCAGCTATGAAAGAGTTTTCCGTGGAAAACAATTTGCAAACAACTTTGGCAAAACAAACAGCACACCGAACGATACTGCCTAATAACAGACACTGGGCCAACTGTTCGTCGGCGGATTGGCATTATGGATTATGGGAGTGGTCATCAGCACATATTCAGAAATACACTTCCGGGTAAACAAAAAGAAATGCTAAAACTGCACTTCCAATTTGAACTCGAGGGGTTTGGCGAGGGGACTCCAAAGAAATTGCAGTAATTGACACTGAAAATGTGGCTGCCGTTCGGAGCTGGCAATGTTGATGGCTACGATGATGCTGCTGGCAAAGCTGATGATGTAGCAGTTATCTATGGAGTAGCAAAATATATGTAATTGCCACCGACCAGGGGCGCCCATGAAGGGGTTTGTATGAAAGGCAGAATAAATGGAATGGTGTTTGGTACACTAAAGTGGGGCATTTCCTATATGCGTTGCCCATTTTCAAACACCTCTGAATGTATTCACATACTCGTATGTTAAATTCGCATTTGCATTTATTGAAGGTATAAAGCTGTCAGAAAGTAAATCACCAAATGTTTTCCATCCTGAATAAAGGATTATTCTAGCATTTACACACGTGATCTTTGTGATTTTTGTGCCAGCTGACATTTTTAGATAGTTTCGCATGCATATTTGGACATTAATTAAGTACAAATTTTGATCTTAGCTCACTATATTATGAATTCGATTTAGGAATACACCTACAAGTTTTTGTGATACGCCACTGCCATCTCAGCATAGCCACTTGCAAGTGTACCAGTTCAATTTGCTTGGCCCAGCCTCGACACTTGAGAGAGTGTGTAGTTAATGAATGCAAAGAGTCTAAAGCTCAATTAATGAAATTTCATTTAATTACCAGCGGGTGGCAGTCGAAATTGGCCGGGGATGGAGACAAGTTGTCCCTCGGAGAATTCGCAGGGAATTCGCCATCTCTGCTGAATGACTGGCGGCAATCGTACGTGCGGCATCGTCAAGGACCATTAAAACTAGGCTCAGTTTTGCTGGGTCCTGCGCCTTGGTGCCCATTTTACAGTTGGCCTCATTTGTGGGTCACATGCAACAGTTTGGCCCAACCAGGCGGCAGCATCGTGACTTGCCACATCGATCAATATTGTGTGCTGCGTTTCTACTGCTCGGCAATTAGTCTTCGGGGAGGAGGCTCTGGCTCTGGCTCTGGCTCTGGCTCTAGCTGTCCTTCATTTATATGGCAATTAAATTCCGCATTGAGACCGGGTGCGACTATGCGAGGCTCGAGTGCCTCCCAGTGTCTTCGCCGCAGGCCTTCTATTCCCATTTGCCACACTGACTAAGATGAGATGAGTTATGTCCTCCGGAATGGGATGTCCATGTTTGTGCGAGAGTGTTTCTCTTTGAATTGGTAATGAGATGTTTGAGTCGGCACTTGAAGTTCCCAGCAGTTGAATATAAACAAGACCGGTTTACCCAATAAGTAATATAAATCATGAGATGCCTTGCGAAATGCTTGCTATAAATTAACAAGATTTATTTAAGAGTTATCTAAGTAGTGCGTAAGATTTTTCGTAAATATCTTATTTTTAGCATCAAAGCTGTAGAATAAGCTCACTTGATAAACTACTTTGGGATCGCTTAAAGCTGGAACTTACACTTTTTATGAACCTGAAAGCCGCTCTCAGTGGGTTACACATGTATAGTAAGTTGTAATTAGCTTAAGTCGCCACACACTTTGAGTTTTGCCTCATCACCGCGTCGAAAACCGATTAGAACAAGTTAATTACAGTAATCTGCTCGGAAAGTTGTTCACAGCGTGACATAGTTGAGTTTTGTGTACATTCCGTGAGTTGTCTAGATTTCCAAAGGCCAGTTCACCTGTCAACTTGCGCATAATGTAGAAAAAGCCAGTCAAATCAAGTCCAGCATTGCCGTAATTACTCACCGCCGAAACCAACAAAAATCGATCACTAATTCCACGCAAGCCGCCGCCAATTCATATTATTGTCCGTCCAAGTCGGCCATCAATCAGATACTTCTTTCGAGCAGCGATGCAAATCGCTTTCGACCAGAATGAGCTGCGGTTTCGCACAAAACTGACAAATGACGCACACAATAGGTGGTATATCATAGTCGTGCACTTCGAGAAAGTGCACTTTGCTTGATGAGCACTAGATGTACAGAACCTCGATTCTTTTAGCATCTTTTAGTATCTTTTGCAAGTGGAATTATTTTATTTTTTGAAACAAGTATTGTATTTATATTCAATGAATATTTCAAAGGCGCAAGCTCTATGGCTTAAAGTAATAACGAGTAATCTGTGATTAGTTCGAGTTTTTTTCTGGCTTTAAGATTCTTTTCTGTGTACTTCGTACTTAAATGCTGACTGACTTTCGACTCTCAGCGATCGAGTTGGAAAACTGCAAGCGACGTCTCCGCTAATTGATTTTGAGCGAGTGATTTGGCACGTTTGGCTGCAGTTCATTAGCAAAGTTGGACTGCACCGAGTTGCGTTTTTGGGTTGGGCCCTTGCGATAGACAAGACTCGAGTCCGGATTCCTACTTGGCGTTCCAAAGACTCTTTTGGGTTGGGTCTGGCTATACCGAAGCCAACGGCGACGGCAACGGCGATGGCGATGGCCTACAATCTGGCACTGAAGCCGGCCGACTTGGCTAGAGGTTAACTAAAGAAAGTTGGCCACTGTTTTGGCACTAATGGATCTAACCATTTCTCCGCATTTTTCTACGTTTTTTCCTGCTCTAGATGAGAGACAGCACATACAGAAGAAAACATTCACAAAATGGATCAATTCACATCTTATCGACACCCAGTGCACACCAGTGAAGGATTTGTTCTTGGACCTGCGGGACGGACATCGATTGCTGGCCCTGCTGAGCACCCTGACTCAAACAAACCTGGTCAGTATACTTCGCTAGTGATTAATGGTGCAGTACATATAAGTTGAAAATGATGTGCCGAATTAAAGGTACACATATGTATTTATGTATCTCAACATTTACCCTGTTCATAATCATATGTGCCCTTCCTTCAATCCCTTCAGAAACCCGAAAAAGGCCGGATGCGAGTGCACCACATCAACAATCTGAACAAGGTGATTACCGTGATCCAGCAGCACGGCGTCAAGTTGGTGAACATCTCCAGCGATGACATAGTGGGTGGCAATGCCAAGTTGACCCTAGGCCTCATTTGGCTGATAGCGCTGGAGTTTAATGGCCAGCATCTAGTCAAGAGTCACTCGAGCAACGGGGTAGAGAAGTCCTTATTGGCCTGGGCACGTCAGTATACGGAAGCTCATGGCCTGCAGCTGAATGATTTCTCCAGTTCGTGGTCCGACGGAAGAGCCTTCCTCATGATACTGGCTGCTCATGTGGAGGAGTTGAGTTTGCAGGCGGCTTTGCAGCAACATGCACTGAAAAGACTGCATTTGGCTTTCGATTTGGCACACAGGCACTTCAAGATCGAAAAGCTGCTGGATGCGGAGGATGTGCACACCCACAAGCCAGACAACAAGTCAATTCAGATGTATGTGATGTGCCTTTACCACGCGATGGAATCCATGAGGACCAGGCAGCAGGAGCAGGAGCAGGAGCACGATGAGGGACAGGATCAGGATCCGGGGAGAGTGCCCTGCACCAGCATCACAGACTTGGATGAGGTGCCTCTGGACAATGACCAAACCACCTTGGGACTTTACACCTCAGACAGTGCTGGTAGCATGGAGCAGCGATCCTCGGGAGAGCTGAAGACCCACTCCATGCGTCCCCTGAGCACGGCTACCAATGCGAGTGTGGAGATCAGTGGCTACCAGTCTGCTCTGGAGGCAGTACTCACCCTCCTACTGGAAGATGAACAGCTGCTCTCGCAGAACTTGCCGGATCCCCAGGACTTTCAGACTGCCAAGCAGCAGTTTCACGAAAACGAAAGCTTTATGCTGAAGCTAACCGAACATCAGGAGTATGTGGGAGAAGCTCTGGAGGAGGGTAGCAACCTCATCAACGAATCCCAGAAGGCAGGAGCTGGATTGAGTGCCGACGATCAAAACGAGGTGAGGCAACAGATGGTGTTGCTCAACGAACGTTGGGAAACCTTGAGATTGCGCGCCTTAGATGTTCAGGCCAAAATTCTAATGAGACTGGCCGAGTTTCAGAAGCAAAAACTCGAAAAGCTTCGCCAGTTTCTGACCAGTGTTGAGGATCGTATATCCCATATGAGTGATATAGGACCTACCCTGGAAGAAGCTGAAAAGCAACTATTGGAGGCCCAAAAACTCAAGGCAGATCTAAGTGAACAGCAGGAGTTGGTGGATAGTCTGAGCAGTATGGTGGTCATTGTAAACGATACCTCTGGCAACTTCAATGATCTAGAAGATCGCTTGAGCGCCTTGGGCGAGAGATGGTCGCATGTGGTCAAATGGAGTGATCTGCGATCCGAGAAACTGCAGCAGTATAAATGCATTTCCAGATGGCTGGATGCCCGCGAGCAGGATCTCAAGCTCATGGAGAGTAGGGATGTCACAGATGTGGGTGGCATTACCCAGCGTATTAACGAGCTAAACTATTGTGCCAAGGATCTGTTGGAGCTGCAGAGATATCTGATAGATCTGCGGCAAATGGTGGCTGCCACCTTGCAGGATGGTGATGACAAGGGCGAACGGGTACTCATCCAGTTGGAGAGCTACGAAGATCGCTTAGATGCCCTAAAGCAGATTGTTGAAGTGCAAACTGTGCGAATCGAAACCAAGGGCTTCAACTTTGGACGAGATCGTGCTAGCTATGATGACAGTAGGGTTGTGCGACCTGAAGGTTGGGTGGACTACCAGATGATCATTCGCTTCGGTGAAGAGGATTGTCGGGAAGACGATGAGGAGCATAATTTGGCCAGCAAAAAGCGAAAGCTTAGGAACGCCGACAATTTCAATGCCCTCGAGAATCACATCATGGAGCACTTCGGCTATGTCCAGGAAGTGGAGCAAAAGCTACAGCAGTTACAGCGACAAAGTCTTCGGCAGCAGTGTGAATTACTCAAGGAACTTCAGGCGGAAAATAGCCGACGCTACGGTACTCTGCCGGAACTTAAGAAACTCTACGAAGTCTGTGAGCTGGAGGATCCGTCGAGGAACCTGCTGCTGGAAGAAACCCACATCAAGCAGCTGGAGCAAAGATACGCGAACCTGTCTCAAAAACTATCAAGCCAACAGAGCGAAAGCAATACGCTGTTGGCCAAGGAAAAGTATTACAATAGTCTGACAGGATTTAAATTAGTTTTAGCTGATTCCAGAGATTGGTATAAGCAGCACGCTGGTTCAGCCAGTGGCAACGAGCTAGAACAGCGTTTGAGCCACATGGAATCCCTGGCATCGGAGATTTCAGAGGCCAAGGCGGCCACCGAGGAGCTCGATGATAATCTTATAGAATGGAAGCAGGACTTCGGTCTGTTCTACGACAGCTGGCATGACATGAAGCAGGCTCTGCAGGCCCTAATCCAACAGAGAGGCGGAGAAAGTCTTTCCAGACAGTTGAAACAAATCCAAGAATTTGTAACCAAAGTGTCTAATCTAAAGGTCCGCGTCTCCAACTTGGAAGTCATGCAGAAGCAGCAGCATTTGCTGAACCAACTGGTAGATGAACTGGAGTCCCTACGGCTAACTTATGATAACATACCGAGACACCTGATTGGCGAGGAGCTACAAGCCACTTGGAACCGACTTCCCGAGCAGCTAAGTGAGCGCGTGATCAAGCAAACCACAGCTATTGAAAACCTAAACCACTTTGCTGCGGAGTATAATGCCATTATAGCCGTGTTGCGAGGTGCAGCCGATTCCAAGTTGAATGGATGTGACAGCGGAAGCAGTCAAGATCTTCGCAAACTGGAGATCGATGTGATAAGCGCTCGGAATTTCAGCGAAATCCTGATCAAGGAGGCGGAACCAGCCCAAAAGGAATCGCTGCAATCGCAGATTAGGGCTCTCAACACCTTGTACGACCAAGTGGAGCAGGCTCATCGGGAGAAGAAGCAACAGCAGACGATCCTGCAGTCCCAGATTGATCTCATCCAGCTGAGGCTCAAGAAAACTGATCAGTGGTTAACCGATCTGGAGAGCAATACACCCAAATCGGGAATTAGCGACATAGGAAACTCCAACGAGTTGTTCCAGAGCAAGAGCCGCTTTCAGACTCTTAAGGAAACCTGCGAAAGGGAAACCACCCAGTTCAGGGATCTCAACGAACGCGGTGGCGAGCTGCTCCTCCAAATGGATGAGCTTCAGGGCCAGGACAGGGAGTCCCGCTACGGATCGCTGGCCAAGCAATTCACACGCATCAATGCCAGGTGGACGGAGGTCACCGAGCTGGTTTATGCGAAGACAGCTCTGCTCGAGCACATATCAACGCAGCTGGGGGAGTTCAAGAAGTTCATGGTTAGCGAGACGGGTTACCTGGACAAGTTAGAAAACAAGATACGCAACACGCCAGAGAATGCAGCCGACGCAGAGGAGATCATGGAGGAACTCGATGTAAGTTGGCCCACTTTTCATTCACTCCTTTTCCATAATGCGTGTTAAATCCCATTAATGATCTTTTCCCTTAGGATCTGGAGAATGTGCTGCGCTCGCACTCGGAGGAATGGCTGGACAAGATTCAGGAAATTGGCAACGAGCTAATTGACAACGAATTCATGGCCGACTCCATGCGACGCGACATCGATGACACCGTCCAACGCTGGACCCAACTCCAGCAGCAGGCCAAGAAGCGAACCGAGCTCCTGGAGCAAAAGGTCAGCGAGGCGGAGCAGTCCGAGAAGTGCATCGTGCAGTTCGAGAAGTGGCTGACCCGCGTGGACGACATACTCAGCGATCATCTGGAGAACGATGTGACCATTGAAGATCTGCCGGAGGATTTCCAGGTAAGTTCTCAACTACATAAGGATCCTTTAGGCATTGGATGCATTTTGTGATTCATTAATAGCGCCTGGCACGCGAGTTTGTGGCCAATGAGAAAAACTTTAAGGAAATCAGCGAGCTCATTGACGAGCACACCAGGAACGGCAAGCTCGGAGCTGCCAATCGCCTCCAGGAGCAGCTGAATCTGATGGAGGTGCGCTTTAAGTACTGCCAGGCCAAGCTGAGCAAGTGCACTGCACCCCAACCTGCCTACGAATCGCGTTTGAATAGGGCCTATGCCGATCTTCGGAATGTGGAGCGCTCCACTCTGGTACTGGATGTCGCCTCCGCCGGACCCAATACGGTTCAGGCTCAATACCAAAAGTGTCTGGTGAGTAAAATGATTACGAAATAAATAATTCTTTTTGAGTCTAAGCCAAAACACTTTGGCGAAATGCCAAAAGTGCTGGTATAATAAGTTTTGGCTTAAACTCAAATGAAATAGCACTAAATGGGCTATACAAACTGATCAAATGTTCTTGTTCTTTTCAAAAAACTTTCTTCATTCCTTCACAATTCCCAGCAAATTTATCGCACTCTGTCGGAGATAAAGGCGGAAATCGAGAGCACGATCAAAACCGGTCGCAGGGTTTGCGAGGACCGGTACACAAAATCCCCAAAGCAACTCAGTCAGCGGATTGATGCGCTGAAGCACCTGTTCAATGCCCTCGGAGAGAATGTGACCCAGTCAAAGGCGTTCCTGGAAAGTCTGCTCACATTGGCGAGGCAATTGGAGGAGTGTTTCGATTCGGCGGACACCCTAATCCGGCGCTTTGAGTCGCCGCAAGAGGTGCACGACAGGAACTCCATACTGCTGGAGTTCGAGGATGTGCTGCGAAGGTGCGAGGACCACTACAATGAGTACAGCAAATCCTGCGACCAGAGCTGCATGGTGGAAACCCGTCAAAGGATCGATGGATTGAAGGCCACGTACCACAAGTTGACCAGTGCGGACATAATCAAGCGGCTCACCGAGATGAAGGCCACCCTGCAGAACCTGGACAATATTTCCCTGGAGACCCTAAAGTACGAATAGAATTATAGAATAGATTTAAACATAATCTCTAGCTTTAAGAATTTATAAGTCAGGTAGTTCTTATTTAGTTTGAACAACAGAGTTAGCTGACTCTCATCCAAACTAGATTTATATTGTAGGTGAGGAAGCTTAATACTACATTAAGTTAATTAAGCCTTCTCATGTTCAGGATGCTGTAAACCCCTAATCTACTGCTTCACCTAGTAATTGTAATCTCTTGCAGGGCAATGGAGCACGACCTGAAGGAGATAAATGTGCCTTCGAATCCGGAAATTGAGAAATTGCAGCAGCAAGTAATTGCAATTGTCGTGGTGAGTCGGAGCAAGCAAACCAATCCTCTTAATTACGCAAAAGCTTCCTTTCCGCTTTCCACAATGTCCTTTCCACCTGTACATAATATATGGACCATCCTTTCCTCTTTCTGTGCTTGTTATCGGGTTTCAGTTTTTTGCTTACACTCGTTTTTGTCTTTATTTGCTTACCTCACATTTCGCTTTTACATCGGAGTCGCCTCACACTTCCCATTCCATTGAGGCTGATTCTACTCGGACACCTTTTGGCCTGGCTCGAAGCAAATGGAATTGGGTTTCAATTTTCCTCTACTTTTACTCCTTCTGTTTCACATCATCGGTTCGACATCATTTGATTTATCAGAATGTGCAGCTTGGTTTAATGCGTAGTGATTTAAACATTAAATCGTCCTCAACAGGCACTTATTGGGACTGGAAATGGATTTATTAAAATCTAGATTTTATCCTAGATATCGGTTCTTGCCAGAATTTATTTATCGGTCTACTTTTAAAAATAACACAGAATGTGTGCTTTCTAATTTGACTCTGAATTTGCATACAAACAAAAATATATAGAGGTTCTTATCGACAACAAACTAATCCATTTTCAATTAAAAGCAATCAGAAATTGAAAATTTATATGTTTACATGTCCCACTACCCATTGCTTCCGCTTGAAAATGCGCTTCACCATAGTTATTTTACTCATCCCATTATTACTTTTATTTTGCCAGTTTCATAAACCATTCAATAATCTTTCCACCAAAAGCTAATCCAGAACCAACAACATTTACCCGTACTGGTAAATGCCAAACCATCAAATCTACCACATCACCCCAGCTAGAGAATAAACCATTATTATAAATATTGAATAAAACCAGAAATCACCGTATCACTAGAGCTCTACGGGGTCTAACTTTGGTGTCATTTTCACGCTTCCAAATCTAATGTGTATAGTTTTATACTTGAATCCCCTCTAATTGTTGTTGTGGCGTTCGATTGGTTGTGGCTGCGTCAAATGTCCAAACCATCCCAAAAACAACATACAAAAGTAATCCTTCCACCACCACCACAAAAAAAAATATATATAAAAATCCACCAATTACCACCGCTCACCACCAACCAACGCTAATAAATAAATGGCCACTGCTTTTTTAATGGAGAATTTGTAACTTAATGTAAAAATACCTATATACCGGCTTCATTTGATACTTTGCATCAATGCATTTGTTTAGTTTTTGAGAGTCTACGAGCTTTGTAATTCACACCAAACTATGCATTTGTTGTTCAGGATGCGCTGAAAACCCGTTTCAATGAGGCCACAACACTTGCCGCTCGAAATACAAGCTCTCCCGAAAATGACGACACGGAAATAGTTGTTGTCAGCGATACAGTGCGTCAACGACGTGCCAGGACACCCCAATCAGGGGAATCCCCATCATCCGCCCACACCAGCTCCTCCGAGTCGCCCACGAAGGGCGTGGAAAATAATCCGGCAGCGGTTGGCGACCAAGTCCTGCCGGATCTACTCCCACCACAAACATTCCGGCTGGCCGAGTCCAGTACGCTGTTCTCCCAGATTTCCCTTAATCCCGAGAAGCTGTCCAAGACTCCACCACCCAAGCCGGCGAAAACAAAGCGCAAGGCGCCAAGTTCTCCCGCCCAAGTTGTGGAGATCAAGGTGAAGAACATCCACAACGATAAAATGTCAGTGCAGAATATTGATCTGGAACCACAGCAGGGTGAAATCGTGGACACCGTTAATATCCTGGAGAGTGTGGAACCCTTTGTACCCGAGTATGTGGAGACTGTACAGATTGTAGATCTCTCCGAGGACTCGGATTCATCGGTTAGAGTTGATAGCCAGGGCAAGGAGGTGCGACGGTCGCAGAGCAAGCACTCCTTGAACGATGCTCCACTGCCCAAGGTTTCGGATAACGATGAGGAGTCGGCGGAACAGGAGGAGGACCTCCTGCGTCCCTCGGCTGGAAATACAAGCACGCCGTTCCTGAGGGTGGAAAAACACCGCATCTCCTTCGATGAGAAACGCAAACGAGTAGCGAATGAGCGCGATATCCTGCGAGATTCCGAAGAGGAGGAACCGAAAACACCGGATACTCCCCGGCCAGCGCAAGTATCCAAGCCAAAACGCTGGCGCCAGCTTCAGCCAGAAATGGATGCCTTGGAACCCGAATCACCCGCTCGCGATAGTTTCTATAGTCCGGACAAAGAATCCGGTTTCGATGCTGAACCTCTCGTGTTTTCCGACGATGAGGACATACCGCGTTTCTCGCTGGAAATGACACCAACCATTGACTCCGATAGTGATACGGTAATTTGGTTGAATGCCCTGCAAAATTGCTTCCCAAAGTGTTTTAAAGTATCAATCCTAACTCGAGAAATATTATTCCTAACTATCTACACAGAGTCGCATTGAGACGCCCTCCACCAAAAAGCCCAATCCTTTCCTGAGCAAGGTCCTTGAATCGATGCCTTCTCCGGTGGATGACTCTAATGTAACGCTCAAAAGTCCGCTCAGCGAACAGCAGCCCCAGAATCTGGATGATCGTGTTCGGGAGTTCGATAAGCAGGCCAAGCAGATGATCTACAAGTTGAAGCTTACCAAGGCCAAGATTGAACAGTGTCACGAAAGCGAAGCGTAAGATTTGTTATTCGGCTTAGAAGACATTAAGACATTCAGTTTAAGGGGTCAAATTTAAAAAAAGACTTTAGTAAGCCATCAAAGAAGTCATTAAAAAGCCTTTTAAATGTTAAGCTTGTCCACATTTGGTCTAAAATACCAAATCAAGATTGATCAGTGTCACGAAAGCGAAGCGTAAGATTTGCTATTAGGCTTAAAAGACATTAAGACATTCAGTTTAAGGTTTCAAATTTAAAAAAGAAGTCATGAAAAAGCCTTTTAAATTTTAAGCTTGTCCACATTTGGCCTAAAATACCAAATCTTAAAAAAATTTGCTAAGCTGGTCACTCTGAAACTTAAATATTTACCTTTTTTGTGCTAAGTAATGTGCGTTGAGGATACAAAATTGTTCAGTGGCTTGTTTTAATGTTACAAATAGGAAATGAGAAAAGGAAAAACCGTAAAGTCAGTGTGACCTACACCTTGTAGTAGAAATTCAACACCTAGCGTTCACTGCAATATGGCAAAAATAGGCCCTGAATGTGTGTATGAAATCCTAAACATGTGATCTCATTAAATGAAATATTGCAGAGAGGATCTGCGGCTCCTAATAGCTCCCGATGCAGCCACCCTGATATCCCAGGGAGACTCCTTGGTACTGGAAACCCATGGAAGACAGGGCAGCATTTCCCGCCTGGTGATGCGCACCCAAATAATACTGAGAGAACAGTTTCGGGAAGTGCAGCAAGCTAGGTATGAGGCCATTCAAAATGTAGTAGTTTCCATTTACTTATTGCGCCCAATTACCATAGATCGAAGACCTCGGGAAGTGGGACGCCAGCTCCTCCACTGGACAGCGTGAACATCGAGGAACTGGTCACCAAGGGACTGCGGCGCATCAACGTTCTCATCGAAAAGACCGTCGATCTGAAGTCTAGCAGCGATCTGGAGAAGCGCATGGAGGATATCAATGTGAGTGCGACTGAGTTGCAAATGGCCATGTTGCCAATATGAGTGCCTTATTACCTGTCTAAAACACAATTAAATCACTTTCATTTAATCGCCGCAATTAGTCATGTACGTGGACATTTTGAAGACAGCGTCACATCTTTCGGCGATAGGCGCTCGTCTCTTGCCGCAAGTTAATTGCCCTCTTGAGAATTTCGATGCACACATCTATAAATCTATAGGCAGTGGCCACCAAGCTAAATGGGTCCATTAGAAGACCCAAAAATAAACGCGGCTGACACAGTTACACATCTGCATGCAGATGGGCGGTGGAGCAGACTCGTAGTATTTAGTGGGTCAGAAGAGATCGTGGAGTAAGAGAAATTTTAAGAGCTCTTTTTCCTGAGCTGCAGCTCATTTAGTTGCGGATGCTGTCTGTTCCGAAGGGTTGGACACTATGAAGGTTGTCATGTTCTATTCAATTATGACATGTTCCTTTAAACGTAATGATGTATTTAAACATGAAATGTTTTAATGACAAGTGTCATTTCGTATAGGTTCTGACTTTAATTATTTGTTTTTGGATTTCGAAAAATGCTTTCAAATTTTAAACACCTAATTAAAAGTATTCAAACAGACATTTGCAGCTCATAGGTGGAATTTAAAAGACTTGCTTACGAAAAAGTTACTGCAACTTTTTGAGAAAGTCCCATTTCAAATACGTGCTTATTCATAAAAACGAAATAAAACTGTTTGCTCCCAGCTACGCAGCATATAATAAATGTAACATTTCAACAAGTTCCATCCCTAGGCAACAGAGTCATTAATCACTGCAATCATTTGTTGCTTATTTTTATTTGGTTTATTTATTCAGTTTTTTGTTTGATTTTACGGCACCAGCGAGCATGGCGACAAACGCCAGCGATTCAAAACAGCGAAAAATGAAATCAAAAATAGAAAACATTTCGTATTTTCAGAGAGGGGCTGAAAAGTAGATTGGAAAGGGGATTGGATAGGGGAAAACTTATTTCGAAGAGGCGCAAACATGTAAATTCGTCTCTTTGCCGGCGAGAAGAGGGCTTTTGTTTTTATTTTTCCCCATTTTTTGCTTCAGCCTCTTTTTGCCTCTTCAGTAGCGAACCGTCTCGTTTGGAAAGCGGTTGCAGAGCTTTAAAATCTTTTCAAATTTTCCGATGTGTTTGCGGGCGCTTCTTTGTTGACCCAGTGATTGATTGTCAATTTTGCGGAAATTTCAGTTTGGCGCGAAGGGAAATTTCGACAGCAAAAACCGGATCGCCTGCAACAGTTTGCATCGCGCTGCATTCACGACCCGCAAATGCAATTTTGCTGGTTGACAAACGCCGTCCAAGAGGTGGTAGGGTTTTCCGCCGCCAGCCACGCCCACCTGCGTACCGCCCACCCCGACCAGCTTCATTTGTTCCTTTCCCTAAGAGAGAGAGAAAGCTGCATGATTGCAGCTGAAATTGAATTCCAATCGCCGTTGGCTGCTCCTCTCCCAAGCGGAGGCCATTTTGCCCGCCCGTGTATGTGTTTGTTCAGCTTCCGTTTCCGCTTCGAACTGCCATTTATTTTTCAGCTGCCGCAGCTCAAGAGTATCGAATGCATTAATACCTGCTTCAGTGTGCTTTTCTTCGACGCTTAAAGGCGATTTCATTTTCAGTCGGCATTACTGCATGCCAAGTTTCCCAATTGAATTTATTTTGAACACCTCGCTTTCAATTCAAATGCGAATATGCCGGTAATCACTCTACTTTAGCTGGAACTTACTTTAAATAAATCCAATTAAAATTTCTCAGAAGCGAGACATTTTAATTTGGCTGGCGTTTCGATTGACGTAGTAACTGGTCCATAGACATTTGTACTCAATTCCAAATAATTTAATATTAAATATGATTTGCAACGAGCTAATATGTGTAGAAGACAGTTCTTGAAATATACTGTATTCTCAATAAGAGAAATACAATATCTTTTAATACTAAAACTCACTTTCCTTTGTACCTTTCAATACATCTTCCCATTGTGATTGCAGGAGCGGCACGACGATTTGCAGGTGATTGTCAGCGCCATTGGCAAGAACGCCCAGATGCCGAAGGTCACGCCCCTCATGATGAACGAAATTGAAAAGGTTTGCCCACACACTTCGCCCCCATTGAAAACCCTTACGTTGCTTACGTGAATGCCTTGCCACTTTGCAGACGAAAAACAATTTGATAGCTCATGCGGATTCCATTGAGCTCTCGTTGACGGAACTAAGAAATGGCCCCCGAATTTTCAATGGCAAGGAGCGCCCAGATGCATCCAGTGCGGCCACCATGAGCTGTCGTTCGGGTAAGCTTGCCCACTCAATTGTTTGGAATAGTTCATTTTATTTTGGAAGCTTAGAGAGATCGCAGCCCAACCCAGTCCGATGGTTCGCAATGTTCTTGTTGATTGTCGGCAAGTTGAATTGGCTTCAATTGTTTGGTTTACGCTCGAGTTGACTGCTTAAATGTAGACAAGCTGTCGAAGTGGACTTGGTCTAGTGGATAAACTTAAGGATGAGCACTTTTCGAGTGTGTTATCCTGTCAGAAGGCATTTATTTGAATGCTGACGCACAGGACATTTGCCAAGTTATCTATAAATTATCTATAATCAATTACGCATCACAAAAAAGGGAACATTTAAAAGTATGGTTTTGAATATGTTATATCAGAAAATTTGTAAAATATCGCATTCTTGTTTATATGATATCCGCCCGTACTCGTATTATAAAATACCTAATTTATTTAAATTATTGATTACTGAATTTAAGTATTCAAGCACATGCATACATATGCGAGCAATATATATGCACACAAAAAAAGAAATTCCTATATTTCATTGTCGGTTTTTTATTAACCGAACCTAATTGATATGATTTGAGGTTTTATTACTTCGCACAATCGCTCACATTACCGAAACTTAATAATCTCTTTTTTCACTGGCTAATAATTCGAGCATTGGCCAACAAAACAACGAAAACTCTTCAAACAGCACGTACAAGTTTTTGCTTCATTGTAATTATTTTTGATCTATGTGCACTTTCATTGGAACTGCGTGTTGATTTACATTTGGCGTTTCAAATTTTGATGTGCAACTTAAAAAAAATTGCGTAAACTAAAATGCATTTTAGTGCACGTTCCTCTCGTCTATATATTTTTTATAACTAAAAATACAAAGGACATCGATTCCCGCCTTTTTCCTACAACATTTCCGTTTTTTGTTTATGTTTTTTATAGGGAAAGGGCAGCCAGATGCCAAATGTGCCATGTCAATGGCACTTTTGACATTTTATGTGAATGTTTTCGGTGTTGACTTACCCAGTGGGAGAAGGGAGATGGGAGGTGGGTGGCCTTCCCTTGTTTCCCATGTTGTAGACCCCTTTTTTGATTCCATAACAGATGCAGACATATGTTGTGGAATACATAGCCCGCATGCCTGCTACTTGGGGTTTGTGGGACAAGTTAAGGAAGGAATTATCTAGTAAAACTTTCACTTCAAATCGTTTTATAGGTATATACTTCATATCATGGAGCTTGCATTAATTGAATTCCTTTGCTTCATTCCCATAGCTTAAACATGTTTTAATTTACACAATACAAAATCCAAATTGTTGAGTGTATTCAGACATCTTGTACCTCTAGCTAGCAGGAGTGCTGCAGATGGAAAAGTATCTCATGCTTTGGCAATCGTGCTAGCTAAGCTACAACAAATCCCTCCCGTCACCAGTAGTGAAGGGTCATCCATGAGGGGATCCCGCCTGGCTCACCAGTGTCGATGCACGGCCAAGACTTCTGGTCATGGTAACCTGATCGTTTGATATCTTGACCAGGCCCTGGGATCTCATGTACTTCTCAATCTCCAAGCTGGCTTTCTCTACGTAGTGCACATTATTGTCGAAAACGTCCTGATCCGCTGTTGGGACCGCCATCATCACATCGCTCATTTTCCGCCCGTGTTTCGCAATGGTGTACTCCCCCTTCTGGGAAATGCTCCGTCGCTCTGCGAAACTCAGCCGCTGCTCCTGCAATTCCCCGATGATCGAGCCGTCGTAGTCGATGTGGGTCCCATTCTCAGCGACCACTTCTCCAACCGGCGGTGATCCGGGCGAAATCCCCGATTCTCGACTATCGTCGGGCGTTGCCATGAGGACCCTCTTTTTCACTTTTGACAACTTCGGCTTCAGGGAGGCTGCCATTGAATGCTCGCTCAAGTCAGGTTTCCTTTTAATCAGCTCGCTTAGATCGGTCAGTCGCCTGTCGAGTATCTTGGCATTCAGGGCCACGCCCTTTTTGGGATGCGGAGTTCCAACGGAAACTATATCGCGAAAATTCTTAGTCGGCGAGTGGCGCTGAAGTACGTTGACCGACGGCTAAGGAAAAAGTACCATTAATTATAAACAATAAGTCATGCAAACATTACCTTTGGTTTTTGCATGGATTTGGACCAGTGAGAGCTCGCATCGCTGATACTGGGACTTCCGTCTTCCACCTTTTCCGGCCGTGTTTTGAGCAACCCGGAATGGTTTCGATGCTCAGAGTCGGTACCCATTATCAGGCGCGCCTTTAGTAAATTGGCATCCACGCCTTGCTCCGCGCGAGGATATGGCGTCGATGACTTTCTAGAGGACTTCATCAAGCCATAGTCCCTGGAAGAGATGGGTAGGGGTTCCGTCGATTTGAATTTTAGCTTGGGTATCCTCTGGAAAATAGAGAACTCCCTGTCCACCGCATTTACGGGGTCGATCGTGTTGTTCAGCCTCCTAGTTTCGCCACTGTACTGTTCATTCCTCGAATTTCGCATGGCTCTTGTGTTTTTTTATTATATTTTTGTTTTATTTTTCAACTGATTTTCTTTTTATTTTTTGAGTGTGTGGTGTTTAGCAAAAACGTGACAAACATCAGCACGATAATTGGATGTTTTACTTCTAATTTGTTTGTTTTTAAATGAAACGGAAAATGCTCAACACGCTACAGTTTTAAAGCCATGTTTGCAGAGCTTGACAAAAGCTGCATGCTAGCAAACTAATTTTGGTGCTGTTCACTGCCAATAGATGTCGCTCCAAATTATGTAGTCACCAAATGTAGACAATTTTATTTATGGGATTAAATGTTTCATGACCAATATTTATCCAAATTGGTTTAATATTGATTAAAAATGATTTAATGATAAATTAAACAGCTTTTCTTTTTTAAGCTAAAATTAATATTTTGTAGGAAATGATGATAGAATGAAAAAAGTTGCAAATTCTGCATTAGCTTAACTTATTTTTAACTTGCGCCTTTTCTTAAGCTTTTTTAGAATTCGTCCTGAGCTTTTGAAGCTTTATTCGATTTGACCGTTTTAATCAGCTGTTGGCCACAAAGAAGGAAACATTTGAAAATAAATCGTGCAGCGGCAAGGAAGTGGAAAGTGTTTAATGTGGAAGTGATACTTTTAATGCAATACGACAGGAAAATAATACATTTTAAACCCGGAGTGTAGACTTAAAACAAAATAAAATGGTCTAATGTAACCGCACACATTTTAAGTGGAAAAACGCATTTCGAATAATACAAATGGATAGAATGATGAAAGTCAAATCTATTAATATTTGTGAGAGTTTTGCCAATTTAATAAAATCGTTTTATAAATATTCAAGCTGCTGAATAAGATTCCTTCTGGGTAAATACAAAAACAGCGCTAACCATTTCACAAAACATAAACAACAAATTAAAGGCCATCAAGGTCATCCATCACTTAAACTGAAAACTTTAAAACGATTTTTCCTCTTGCTAAGATGTCACTGTGTCTGTCTTAAAGCCCTTACTGGTACTTTCCCGACTGAGGAAAAAAGAGACGCTCCTCAGTTGAGTGACAACTGAAAGGGAGAATGGGAAAGCAGCCCAGAATTTCACGCTTTCTTTGGCTTTTAATGAATTATGACATTTTCCGGTAGAGCCCGTTTACTTTTAACGATAGAAGTCGGCGCGTAGGCGGAAGAAAAATGGAGGGAATGTTATCAGCTCTTTTCCTTTTCGGTGTATTTTTTTGTTTTTTATTCTTTATATGATATTTTCTACCACTTTGCACCTGTCCCCTGAATGGCGCAGCACAAAGCAAAAGGGGTTTGTGTATGCGGAACCTACCTGAAACATTCATCAGAATGAGTGAAAAGAAATTTTACACTTAACGTGTTTCACTGCTACTTCAGCGTGTTTTCCGGCCATGTGTGTGGTTGTCAGCTATGTTATTATTGCTTTCTGGTTTCCTTTTTATTCCATTCCTGGGAAAAATATGCACAGAAAAAAATATACATCATGCTATTGAGTCTTACGTTTCTTTGATTTACTTCTGATTTTTTGCCATCCTCAGTTACAGCGGCATAAACTTAAAAAAAACCTTTTTTTCTAAATTTCCAATTTATCTAACAATTGAAAGTCCTTTTTCTCAGTGCACATATTTGCTTAACAGCTTCTTGTGGGCCTGGAACTCTCATTCATTCAGTCGCTCACACACTGCAACGCTTTGAGACGCCACTTCTTGACGCGACCTGCGTTCCAAGTCCCATGTCCTGAATCCCGCCGGTGGCCAGGACAGTGTTAGCTGTCCTCCTTGGACTTGGCACTTGTCGCCAAAATCCCCTGTCCTTGCAGGCCGGCCTAATCCTGCGAGGGACACTGCGAAAACTACAAACCAAAACAGCAGACAAGCAGCAAAAAAACCCAACGTGTCCCTCCTTTTTCAGCTTAGTTTGTTTTGGTTTTGTTTTCCCGGATTATTGGCAAACTCAGGCCTGGGGAAACTTTCATAACTGTCAGAAGGACGTCCGGCTCCACCCACCTGCATATTTTTTCAGTCTGCTTTCGGTTCCTTTGCTCTGCGCCTACTTAAGCTTTTCTTTACATTTCCTTTATACTCTTTTCCTCAAGTATTTCAAGTGTTTCTCCTTTACTTCTCGAGCTCTGAAATATTTGCACCATGGTTTGCAATTGAAAATTGTCATTTAATGGAAAAAGTTGCGGAAAAGCTGAAAAAAGAGCAAGGGGCGTTAGCTGAAGTCCAGGGTTAAAATAATATTACTTTGCGATGCACTTTGCAAGCTTACTGCATTGTGATTCACTTTCATTGCGGCGACATCTGGTAGATATTCGTTTGAAGTTGCCGAAGATACGTAATGTTCCTCAGAAAATACTACAACATACTTTAAAACTGTACTAAAACAACTTAAAATTGTCAAAATGTTTTGGTTTTAAAATTCAAAAGCACTACTTATTTATTTCATATTTATTCTGATTACTAGATATTTAATTTATATGACCAACTTTTTTAAGATACGTAATGTTCCCCAGCAAATACTACAACATACTTAAAAACTGTATTAAAACAACTTAAAATTGTCAAAATGTTTTGGTTCTAAATTCAAAAGCACTATTTATTTATTTCATGTTTTTTCTGATTACTAGAGATTTAAATTATTTGAAAAACTTTATTCGTATCCCATTGTACAAGCATCAACCAAGACACTCGAAACTTTGCTTCATTGAAATAGTTTTTCATTTACTTGCCTTTTGCTGAAATGTGCAACAAAGTCGAGAGGCGAGTGGCAAGCAACACCAGAAATAAAGAAAAATAGATGGACGGCTAGTGGAATGAAAATCCATAACTCAATATGCAGCTACAGTGACCCCAATAAGTGTGCCACCAAGCGGTGGTCAGTCGGGAAGAGTCAAAACCACAGAGTCAAAACTGGTGCTATTTAATGAGTAGCCCATCATTAGCAGCTAGCGACACACAGGATTGTGTGGGTCTGTTTAAAGGGCCAGGCTAATTAGCCAGGAGTCCTGCCCCGCGCTCGTTCCTCTTTCTTTTCCAATCCCATTTCAATTTGTCCCATTTTTTATTTTTTCTTCTGCAGAGTACAATAACGAGCCGAGTGGTACTGGAGCGTTGGCCGGCAGCTTCGATAAGTCGGTGCTGCAAATTTCCGACTGGCTGACTTGGGAACAAAACATGATCAAGATACAGAGCGTGCTCGTCGACGATGGCGATGCAGTGCGACTGGCCATCGAGAAGCAAGAGGTGCGCCACATGAAATACAACACACCCATATCCACTTTTCTCACATCATATCTCCCATTCCCGTTCACAGAAAGTCCTGCGTGAATTGAAAATGAAAAAGCCGCAGCTCAACGAACTGGTTCACACGGCGGAAGTGCTCAAAGGCGACGTAAAACGGCAGCAACTGCAGGAGAAAGGTGAGTCCTTTAAGAACTTTGGGGTCTTGAATGTATTAGTATGGCAGTTTCAAGAGGGTGACTTAGGATTACGGTCGTGACTTTACTGATGAACATCAATCTTGTGCCCCGTTCTCTTGTATCTATAAAAATATTTGCTATATTTAAAAATTTATTAGGAATCTTTTCAAGCCACAAAACTTTACTTTAAGGTAATTATTTATCTAAGAACCCACCTAACTTGCGCAAATAGATTTTCATCTTGCCCACTCGTGAGTGTATTTTCGAATCTCAATTATCCTTTGAATGAATTTTGCAAATTGGCTCACATATGGAAATTTCATTAGGCCTTGTTAGCCGTTCCGTCTCCGCCGCCAAGGGGATTGGATACGGCTGATGGCTGTAAAACACGGATCCATTTCCTTTTTCGAAAATCCCCCGGTAGCGAAACCCAGAAATCACTTCGGTGCAAACAAATTTCCGCCGGTCGAGACAAAATGCATGGAAAAGCGGGAGAGGGAAAAGCGAGACATGTGAGTTTTGCACTGAACAGCAACAGACGCCAACGGATGGCCACTTAAAATTGCTAACTCAGTCAGGGGAATGTTTTCGAAGGGGGTACGGGCGAGAAAAGGAGGCAGTGTGGTTAAGGGACTGTCAACATTTGCATAAAGGGGCCGTGAACCTCGGTAGCCGGTTTGTTTCAATTGGAAACAGTTCTCTTCAATCTGAATGACTAAAAACAATGTCACGAATAAATACTCACACAGAGACCAAGAAGTAAAGCTGGTGGACAAAAGAGAGTTCCGCTTGCTTGTTAAACAAATGATTGCATACTTTCAGGTCGTGGTGAGTCCTGCAGTTTGACAGCCACTGGGCTAAGAGTAGTAGAGAGCGCTCTTGCGAGAGAAAATTCACTCTCCTGATTTTATTCGCCTTTTTCTCTGCGGAATTTTAATGTGGCAGTTGAGCAAGCGGCATGCAACATTTATGCCAGTTGACATTTAATTGACAAGCGAGGCAGCCGGCGGGGAAAATGGAAAAATATCCAGCCAGCAGGATGCTAACTGAAATATTTTCATGCTCTTTGGGATCGGGGTGACATTTCCAGTGGGTGTTCAGGGCTGGAAGAGCCAGATGAGCTGGGAGTTGCCTGCACTGCTTGTTCACGTACACGTTATTATGATGTTTGGTTTGTCATAAACATTTGTAACTTGTCGGCCACGTTCTCTCATCTCGGCCATTTGTACGTGCATTTCTGCCTTGTTTTTCCTGCCCTAAGTGTGTGTTTGCCTCTGCGAGTGTGTATATGTGTGTGCGGGGGGCGGGGGCGGGGAAGGGCATCTGTTTGGGCCTTTTGTAATGGAGATGCCAACAGTTGCTTGCACCAAGTTTGTGCTCTGAAAAGCTGAGTGCTGTGCAGCTGCACATTCTTTATTATTATTAAATAGGGGAAAACAGTCCACATAACAGTTTTGAACCTGTTTAGGCTTCATTTGTTTGGTAATTCATTTTATTTTGGCTTGTGCATACCTAAATATTAAATTCAAGATAACTGAATTTTGTACTGAGTTTTTAGGTTTTCATTTATAAGCAACTTTTAATAATATATTTCCATTTACTATTAACCATTTGAAGATTTATTTTTGTTTTATTTGATTTTACTTACCTACATAGTAGAGTACAGAGTATTTTTCAGTTGTTGAATGTTTCTGAGTTGCCTCTAACTATTGGCTAAGAGCCAAACCAAAAATATGGCCATTGGGGCAGCATTGTATTTCAATTTGCTGTTCAAACCCCGTTTAGGATTTCCACGGAAAAGCGGTCGCAGCCAGGCCTAGTTTATTATCGGTAAAAGTGGTTGGAAATAAAGCAAAGAGCTCCAATTAATTACGTATTTCGTAAAGTGCGGCTTAATTAAGCCATTATTCATTATCTCATTCGCGGTTTGTCTCCTCCCTCTTTCTCCGTCCAGCTGCACCTTATTCTCACTGCTCCTTCCCTTCTTTTTCGGGCCAGCAGTCGCACAAACTTTTCGCCAACCCAAATGACCCCAAAGTCCTTATCATAAATAAAATGCCAGCCCGCACGGATGGGAATGAATAGTTGAGGGCGTGTGTGCTTGTGTGTGCGCTGAGGTTGGCTCGTAAATCTGTCTTTGACATGCAATTCCAGTGCAGCGGCTGTTGCTGCAACTTGGCCAACAACTGCCACAACAGAGCAACACCAACAACCCAGCTGCGAGCAAATTATCTGAAAGGACAACGCACTCAGCTGGCCAAGCACAGGCTCAGTGCCTCTCCACCCACAGCCATCCTGCCGCTGCCCCCTTTCGGCGCCCAAATTGCCTTTAATTGCAGCCTTTTGCCTCGCAAACGCCTCCAACTTCACAAGCCACCCACCTCCCACCCCTTCCTTGTGTTTTGGCGCTCCACACGCCCGCTTCACGCCATTACACGCTTTAATAGGCCTTGCCCCTCTTGTGCCGCCCACCCCCAAATAAGGCAGTTCCCCCCTCCTTGGCATTCGCAAAAACCCTTCTTTATCCAAAGTTTCTGCTCCCCCAGCCGAGCGCCTTCTTTTCAATGGTTTGGCATAGCTTCCTGGCATGTGTCTGCGCTTTCAAGAAGTTCGTTGCTTTTGCTACTCTGCTTTAAAGTGCAATTCCCTCGGTTGGTGCAGTCGGAAAAAAGCTGTGGAAAAACAAATATGAATGTGCAAATTGAACTTGGAAAGGGTAATGATTACCACTTAGTACGGGAAAAATATTACTGGCATTAACCTGAAAATACAAAATACCAGGCTTTACTTTTGTGTGGTCTAGTATGTATAAACTGCCAATTATTGGCAACAGTTAATAATAATATATTATTTCATTAATTTATTCGGGCCAAATATATATTATTAGCTCTCATTGTGTGGCCATAAAAAATCCTCATTAAATATTTATACCTCTTTAATTAGCTATTTATTGGGTTAAGGGTATCCGTAGTCGCCATTCGCTGGGTTCGCCTTTCCGCGACTTGTTTCTTTTCTTAATTACTTAAAAAGTGAAGTGAAGCAGAGTCTCTCCTATGGCTGCTTGACCTCAGACCTTTTATGACACAAAGGCGCCCCGGTACGCCCTATTTGCCACGCCCCCGTTCGAGGGGCTTAAGTAAGCATTAAGTGAAATTATTGTCATGGTTGTTAGACTTTTAGCTGCGGCTTTTGAGCGTTTTTAGCCTTTCAGCGCAGTAAGTTATTTTCGCTAAAATAGTTTTGCGCACGAACAAATTTTTTTGTGCAACGTAAGTATGCGGAAAATTTGTCTAAACATTGCGGGTTATAGGTGCTTCGGGGAAACTTTTGAAAAGTGTGTGTCGGGTGCGTGTGTGCCATTGTTTGTGTGTGCTTGTTTGTGTCACCCCGAGTGCCCTTGGGTGTCCTGGCACATCTTGCCCAGACTTCTCTTGGGGCGAAGCCAAGTTGGGAGCTCCTCTTTCAGCTGCAGAAAAATGAAATGAAATTCCAGTTCCCTACTGCAAAAACGAAAGAATAAAGGATACGAGCGGAGAAAAAGGTGTGGACCCCATGCACTCACTCATTACGCAAATTGTCCTGGGCCAACGCAACCGACTACGTGTCCTTTGCCTGGACTTCTCTCAGTCTGTCTGTCTCTGTTTGTCCTCTGGGCATCTCATATGACCGAAATGTCGTTAACAATTTTCGTTGTCTAATGAATTTTAATTAAATTCATTAAAAAGGTTGCACTCGCTGGGCTCCAAAGGGCATAAAAATGAAGTAGGGACTGCCTCTGTCCCTTCAATGCCGCCCGAAATTTGCATTCAAGCAAAAATGCATGCATAAATGAATACTGAATAAAGGGTATATTCGGCTTTAATTACACTATTTTTGTCTGCGATCTCGTCAAACCTTTGAACTAATTCTGCAGCTAGTTTCTTGGCCCACAATCCCATTAATGGCTTTCTTATCACTCGACAGCCACCGCCGCCCTCCACTTTCCGCTCATATTTTCTTCAACTAATTAAGGCCAATGCACACCAAGCATTTTTCCCGACTGCGCAACCCATAAAAGAAAATCTACATCTAAGACACAATAACATAAACATCAAATTCCATCAATGGCACAACGAACTGCTCAATCCCCACGCTTCCCGTCTCCCTCGAGTGCATCCCTCTCTTTCGTGCGGAGGGTGCTGCTACTGCTACCCTGTGCAAAAATAATCCTTATCAGTTGTCAAGGTTCAGAGACGTACGCACAACATGTGGCAGGAAGGTTGAATGTCTTCCGGCTAAATCGCAGCGCCATGCGCATGCTCCCCACGGAACCCTAGCAAAACAAATGCCAGTGGATCCGGAGAGCAGCCGGAGAAAACTGCCGGAATGCCGGTGAACCCAATATACACAGAGAGCATCGCGGAAGTCGGGAGAAAGTATGGTTGGGAAAGTTGCAATGGGTGGTGGGTGTGAGCACTGCGGGAAAAACTGCAACTCTATATTACTAAACATTGGAGTATTCCTCAGACCCTTCATAACTAGAAGACAAGAGAGAACGCTATAGTCCCGACTATCAGATACCCTATCAGAATTACATTTTTAATGGCACTGGAATATCGTGTTAGCTTAGTGCATTTTTCCCAGTGCATTGCTAGTAAACTTGCTTTGGGGTTGCTCTATCACACGCCCGCCCCCCTCCCCGCACCCCTCGCCCCGCCGGAGCGCCCCCCTTTTGGCCACTCACCTTTTGTTTACCCATTTGGGGGTTGCTGGTCGGGTGATTGCCGCTCTTTTGGAGAGCTCGATAAAAAGCGGTTCCGTGTTGAAATTACGCCGTGACTTTCGCTCTCTCTCTCGCTGTTTCTCTCTTCAGTCCGCTTTGTCCGCTTTGGGGGTCCGTAGTTCCGCGAGCAGGCCGCCAGGACATTCGTTGGCTCTGACTACGTACAAACGGTTGTGAAACTCCTCCATATCCATATCCACATCCACATCCATTCCGTGTCGTCCCGTGGAGCCATTCA